CCTAGGACGAGGTGCTGGGAACAACACGAGCGAGAAAGGGACGAACAGATACCCTAGCCAGGCAACTGGGGGTTTCAGGTCGATGCACCCCTTCGCTTGCTTGCCAACGAGGGTTCGACGCCCTGCGTCGTTCCCTGACGTCATTCGAACGCCGCCCTCCCCCGCCCCTGTCGCTGGTACCGATGAAATGCCGTGAGCTCACCAGACCAAATTTTCGTCCTTCGAAAAATGGATCCTCCGGCTCCTCTTCCTTTCGCAGCTTCAGCCCCTACTTGTTTTTTAGGTCAGACTTTCGGTCGCGGATCAGGGTTGATGTGATTTTTAATTGGTCCTCTGGCTCACCCCCTTTTATTAGGGAGGTCTTATCTCCGTCGTTTGGTTTTTCTTTCCAATAGTCGGTTCTGTTGTCTCGCGGTTCTTGATTTCGTATCGATTGCACGGACGACAATAAAATCGCCTTCTTTCTTGACTCTTGTTAAATGCGATAAAGTCATGATGCCTGAAATATTTAGAAATATTGAGAAATATTTAGAAATAGTTTCCATATACTGTGCTTTATATTTCAAGGATTTACCAGTAAATCATATAGAAAACTCACATATGGAGTACTGGTAGCATTAAATTTTTAAGAAGATTCTCTCTGAGGTATGTTGGCCTCTGTTTCGTTTTATATTTCAGGATTATCAGGAAGCCACGAAAGGTCACTTTCGCATATGGAATATCGATGCCATTGAATTTCGAAAACAAATTGATAGAGGATTAAGAGATGTTGACACAGAGATCGAGGGAAACAAATTCCAAAAGTGAAATGTCACCTATCACCGTTTTATCCCTGTACCCGTTTTCAATTCTCACAGAAAGAATTTTCAATTCTCACAGAAAGTAGAAGAGAGAAATAGAAGTATTCGTGCCCCGAAGGTCGAACGAATCATCGAGACGATTTTCTTGATTGTGATCACAGCCTTCGATCGACTGGGTCGTTGGAATTGCGATCGACGCGTTATCATGCCGACTACGTGCCACTATTATATACCGTAGCTTGATATTATTCTCGTTACAGTCTGAGGCACGCGATCTTTGTCGTCTCGAAATGATGAACTGCAATTCCTGAAATTTGTTTTTTTTTTTGGAATTATAGTATTATTTTCTAAAATGGAGGTACGATTTATAGGATGATGTTTCATACTCTAGTATCGTAATGTTTTTAACCCCTTTGGCAACGAAATGCTTTGACGATGTCGCCGTATCACGTTACTGGAAGATTCAATTACGAATAAATATTCACAGTCGCAGTAGCGTGGAGGTGACCAGCTTAATTTATAGGGGTTAGCTCCACGTCACGGTATTTAAAGTAACATGAAAACTAAACGAGTATGTGGAGTTTTCCTTGAGGAGGTTAAGCGTACCACTGATCTCGTTCGATAAATTTTCCGGTTTTTAACTTTTAATTGACGAAAATTGTAGGAACATGTTACTCGAATTTTCTGACCTTTAAATATAATTTACTTGTTTTTGAAGTAATGCTCACACAGATTTGGTGGAATCAATTTAACTTTGAATTAAATCAAATAGACAAAGATTTTATTTATTTACAGTGGCCATCCTCTACAGATCACGGGGTCCATGGAAACTTCGGGTGCTCCAAATAGAGGTGAGTAAAATTCTTATGTATCTATCACTCCCTGCTCAACACTTACAAATAAAAATATTCTTTGTTTACGGTGCCCATCCCATATAGATCACGGGGTCCATGGAAACTTCAGGTGCTCTAAATAGAAGTGAGTAAAATCCTTATGCATCTAACACTCCCTGCTCAAGACTTACAAATAAAAATATTCTTTGTTTACAGTGCCATCCTCCACGTCCCACGGGTCCATGGAAACTTCAAGTGCTCCTAAACGAGAGGTATAATCCTTATTCCTTGCTCGAAACTAATAAATTATCCTAATCACTCTATCCTGACCTGTCCAATGAAGGTTATTTCTTGCTCTTCCGTTTGATTCTTCGAATTCAACGGAATGAAATCGAACAGGGGGTACCATCCATCGAGTGCAATCTCCCGCGATTCCTTCCCAAGCGTTTCGACCGGCAACTTTCAATAAACGTTGCGATCAGAGAGTTGTCACTCAAATTTGCCAATCGATGTCGCGAATTAATATTCTT